TGTGGTTGTGTGTAAATGATACGTTTGTTGTTGTTGTGTTCCCGCAGAGAAAGACACCACAGCCCGCGTATTTTCTTATGTGTGAAGCTGCGAATGGAAATTGTTTTTGGTTTTTGTGCGTAGTTTTGTTGAAAAGGTTGGGGTGGGGGGGGGGGGGGGGGGGGCGATATTATCTTAACCTCGCAGACACCCTGGACTGCAAAACCCTAAATATCACCTGTGTCCCTCTAATGCTATTTACTACAGATAATGTCATTTCGAGTCACCTATCGAGTTATCCATCCCAATAATAAAACCATCTGAATCGGTGTCCTTGTAGCTCTTTCAATTAGCCAGGGCTAAAAGCGAAACTCTCACTGCTTCAAGTATCTCAGACTCGTACAATAGGCCATTTTACAGTTGTGTGCTCAGTGCCCTAGCCTTTGAATAGAAGCGAGGCTGGCGGTGACCTTGTTTTGTTTCAAACCTTCCCTAATTTCATGTGCAAATCGTGGTATTCTCATGCCAACAAGCCCGTGAACATGATCATTTACATATGAAAAACAACAAGGTTTGTAACAAAACAAGGTCACCGCTAGCCTCGCTTCTATTCAAAGGCCAGGACACTGATTACACAACTGTTAAATGGCCTATTTTCTGAAATAATTCATCTTGAAATTCTCTCTGTTATTTATCAGTGGTACCATAAATTGGTCCCTTCTTGTTTTGTCGATAGTTTTAATTCCAGAATCTTCCACCATTCCTATTATACACGTCAATCAGAATGATGATCTGTTTGTTAAATCGGTTTATACAACCCAATACGGCATTCGTTGACATTCTGTTGATGTTAAGAGAGCCTTTCATGCTTTTCTTCCAACGAAATTGGTCTCCGTTGTTTTTTACTTCCTTCCCTTGACTAGCTCTTTCTCTGTTATCCACGTTAATGTAGACATTAAAATTTAGTCGAGAGGAAGACTCGGCTTTGTTGTTGTTGTTTTTTTTTTCTCTCTAAAAGTCCGGGTGGCCATGCAATTTACCACCAAAAGTAATTACAGGCCGATATCTCTATTACCAATTATGTCAGAGAAGAGAAGCATGAGGGACAACGCTTTACTTTACGATTTCCAGTCTGGCTTTAGAAGAAGTTTTTCTACTGAAACGGCAAAGATACGGCTTGATAGATTGCAGAAATGGTCAGATAACAACAAAATGACTCTCAGTGAAACGAAGACCAAAGCAGGGAATGTAAATGGTCGAGAAAAGAACGAATAACCAGCAGTTGCAAGTTAAATAAAATGCCACCGAACTTCAACAAGTGAGCTCACAAAAACTCACATATTTTCCCTGATGAAGGTAGCGTTGCCGTTTCTTCGGAGTTTTATTTGCAATTATGAGCGTTTAACTTACCACCTTCCCACTTTTAGTACACTAGCTCACAAAAACTCTTAGGTGTCACAATTGATCACAAACTCTCTTTTGATGACCATATCGAGGAACTCTGTAATAAGCTCTGTCAGCGAATTGCCGTGCTGAGAAGGATTAAGAGATTTCTTCCTCTGGAACAGAGGAAAGCGTACTACAACGTCATGATTAAGCAAACAATACTGTATACCTCCACTGTATGGTCCGCATGCTCCACTGGGAATTTGCAGAGGGTTTTCCGTCTCCATAAGCGAAGTGCACGCGTTATCCTTGACGCCGACACGCTGGCGAACAGTGTTGAACTATTTATGAAATTAAACTGGCTTCCACTTCACCTCTAGATGAAAGTAAACATTTGTATTCAAAATTACAAGCGTGTCAATGGACATAACCCAAGATACCACATGAAAGATCGACTTCTCGTTTTAAATTCGGACATTAATGATCGGAATAGCCGAAATAGCTCCTTGAACTTAGTCTGCCCTTGCTTTAAACGTGAAACCGAAGAGGGGCGTACATTTAACGTGAGGGCAGCAAAATTATGCAATCAATACCAAATTCTTTAAAAAGATTGAACGTGTACATAGTTTTAAAAGGGCCTTAATTGACTTTTAAGCATCTTCTTAATTTTCTTTGTTGTCATTTTTTTGTTAATTGATATAACTTTCTATTTACAAATTTTTAAATTGTATTTTTTTGTATTTTTAATTGTAATTTCAGTTTATTCCATGTTTATTTTTAATTGTACCGTAATTGTTAACTGTTGCATAATGACAGCAGCAGGTTTGTCAGTTTACCTTTTAGCGTTACCCTCTTTACAGCTATTTCGGATAGCACGTGACCTGAGTTGTCAAAAACGTTTCAGGATTTTGGGAAAATTTCTGCGACGTCAATCAGTCCGCTACCGTAGCATCCACTGTGTTTGTCAAATAAAGGCGGCAATATTAAAAACGAGCAGAAGCTGCAAAAGTTAACGTTGGCAGGAACGTACCGATTCGTTTTCACCCTCCCATACATGTGTTTCTTCTGGATTTGGAAGCTCTATTGCTGGCTTTCAGTGTCACGCCATTCAAAATAGATCAAAATAAAAATCAAAACCGTATCAATAGATAATGTCAGAAATCTGGGATGTGAAATAAGGTAAATATTTACAAGTTCCTCGCCAAGATTCAGGTCAGAAGAATATTCCGTTTACGAGATATTCGAAGAAATGTCTTACCCAAGTTTATAGAGATTTGTATGGAAACGCCATGCTGGTGCCCACCTGGATGGGCACCAACATGGCGGACGGAAACCAACAAAAACATCTGTTACCGAGTTTTGGTACAAAAGCGTGAATTTATTCCTTGAGGAACTCATAAACATTAAAGTAATACTCTTTCTAATCCATGAACTGTTTAGATAGCAAAATTTCCCGAAATACGTCACTTTTTTAACCTACGTGACAGCTCTCTCGGCCTTCATGTAAATACCACGTCACGCAAAAGCTTAGAAATTCAAGCGTACTCTATCACAAAACCAAGAACCCTTTTGAAGCGAAAATTTGTATGAAAATTAGTTTTCAGCTGCTCTAATACATCATGAAAGTAAAATATCAGTAGGATAGATAGTTTTGTAGTTTGAATTTTAGTGACGTCATGTGAAAACTAACTATAGGAACAATTCCACCTTGGGAATCTAAAGTTGTCAATGTTTCAGTATAAAGAAGACAAAAAAAAATAAGAGCCAAGGTAAAACTTACTGCGCTTTTCAAAAACACGCCTCTTCAAATGCAACGAACCTTGAAACACAGAAACACACAAAGCGGATCGAAATCCACTAGTCACAAATCACAAACCATTACCTTTTGTTTCCTAAGAGGTCAGCTTAGATGTAAAGGCAACTAAGATTTTGATTGACGTCACAGAAAAGCCCAAAATCCAAAGACGTTTTTGACATCGCAGGTCGCGTGTTATCCGAAACAGCTCTAAATAAAGTTGATACATGCATACATACATACATACAAAACGCTCGGGGTGCTTGAAATGCAAAATTTCACCCCAGATTACGTGAATGGGTGGACGTAGGTACGTACGGTCCATTTTGTTAGAACCAATATTCTTTGATGCATAGATAACCAAATTTTCTTACCTATGGTGCTCAGCTAAAAACACCACCTAAATCGGTGTACTTGTAGCTTTTTCACTGAACTATACTTCTTTTTGCCTGCTCCGCCAATAAATAACTATGTTTACTTATTAGTAAGAATGATAAGGCCTATAAAATGCTTTGTCAGGCGTGTACATAATTACCGATGGGTAAAAAAGTGCATTACTTAGTAACTAACAAACCGAATTTCAATTCATTTTAATTTTCGTTTCATTTTATTTTGCTGTTGTTTTAATTCAGTCACACTTAAGAAAAACACTGTCATGGACAACGCGGTCGACGTTTTAGAAGCTCTTCTTATTGGCTTTCTGGTCGCTAGGTTCCTCCTCAATTCCACTCATGTGCTGACAGCCGTGGAGTTATTCAGGGAATGTTTGATCCTTCTCAACCACAAAGCTCTCAAAAATGAAACTGGATTGGCTAAAGCTGAAATCAAAGAGCGGATACATTACGGACTGTTTCAAGGGTACTTTCTGATAAATGATTACTCGCGTGCGATAGAATATGGAAGAGAAGTTCTGGTCTCGGCCCGAAGGCGTGGTAACAGAGATGTAGAAGGAAGTGTTACCTTTACACTGGCCAAATTGCATCATTACAAAGGCATATACCAAGAAGCAAAAGAGCTTTACTCCAAAGCGCTCAGCTTTATGGTAGATACTGGTGAAAAGGCGTTGGAACTTAGTTGTTACGGAAATATGGGGACTTTGCATTGGTCAATGGGGAAGTATTCCGAGGCGAAAGAGCATTTGGGAAAAGCACTTGCCATAGCTATAGAAATCGGCGACCGGAGCGAAGAATCTTGGCTTTACTTATTGCTCGGAAAATTGGTTCACTTACTTGGTGAATACGCAATTGCTGAAAAATACCAGGAAAAAGCACTGGCAATTGCAAAAGAAATAGGTGACAGGAAGAATGAAGGCTTGTGCTATATCAATCTGGGAACTGTGTTTCAGTCTCTTGGTAAATATACAACAGCTAAAGAACACCTTCTAAACGCAATTGAGATTGCAAAAGAACTCGGTGATAGGGAAAATGAGGCCTCTTGCCTCGCGAACTTAGGAACTTTGTTTCATTCTGTTGGTGATTATTCCAAAGCTAAAGAACATCTTAAAACAGCAATCGCGATTACAGTGGAAATCGGTGACAAGAAAAATGGGGCCTTGTATCACGGAAAACTTGGACGGGTGTTTGTCTCCACCTTTGAATATGCCAAGGCAAAGGAATGTCACGAAACGGCACTTGCAATCACAAAAGAATTGGGCAATAAGGAAAGTGAGCCGGTGGACTACACCAACCTGGGAATGGTTTTGGAGGCCATGGGGGAATTTGTAAAGGCTAAAGAATATTACGAGAAAGCACTTGCTATCACAAAAGAGACTGGCGATAGAAGAAATGAATCCTCGTGTAACGTCAACTTAGGAAATTTTTGTCGTTCTGTTTGTCAATATGCCAAGGCTAAAATATATTATGAAAAAGCACTTGAGATCGCAAAGGAGATTGGCCACAGGGAGAATGAAATCTGGTGTTACAGAAATCTTGGAACTGTATTGCAGCCTGTCGGCGAGTTTGCCAAGGCTATTGAATATCACGAGCAAGCACTTGCGATCGCGAAAGAAACTGGCGACACGAACAAAGAAGCCATGCTGTATGCAGAGCTAGGAAAAGTGTTCGAGTCTTGGGGTGATTATGTTAGAGCCAGAGATTATCACGAAAAAGCACTTGCAATTAGTAAAGACATAGGTGACAAAGAAAGCGAGGCCTTATGTCAGTTCGGCCTAGGAACTGTGTATTATTCTTTCGGTAAATTTGCTAAAAGTAAAGAATGTCTTGAAAAAGCGATTGCAATCGCTAGAGCAATTGGAGACAAGAGGAGAAAAGCCCAATGTTATGGGGTTTTAGGAGCTCTGTTGGAGTCTCTCGGTGAATATTCCCAATCTAAAACATATCTTGAAGAATCATTAAAAGTCACAGAAACGATAGGTGACAGGGAACTCAAAGGTGCATGTTATCAAAATCTCGGTACTTTATTCCACTCCATGGGAAAATGTGTCAAGGCGAAAGATTATCACGAAAACGCTCTTGCAATAACTAAAGAAATTGGCAACAGGAAAGAAGAAGCCTCGTGTTTGCGATGCCTAGGAGTGGTGTTTTACACTCTCGGTGAACATGCCAAGGCTGAAGAATATCATGAAAAATCACTTGTAATCACCAAAGAAATATGTGACAAACGGGGAGAAGCAGAAAGTTACGGAAACCTTGGAATTGTGTGTCATTCTCTCGGAGAGTACGCTAGGGCAAAAGAATATCATGAAAAAGCACTGGAAATAAGTAAAAACATTGGCGACATTAAAAACGAGTTTGCTACCCAACAAAACCTTGCAACGCTCATGCTGTTAGAAGGAAAGGTACTTGAAGCTGAATCCTACCTACTGGCCAGCATAGATGCTTTTCAGAAAATGGGAATGTTCTTGACGGATAATGACCACTTAAAGATATCGTTACTTGAGAAGCACGTTATTATTTACCAGATACTAAGCTATCTGTTTTGTAGAACTAAAAATCCTGAGCAAGCCCTTTGTGTGACGGAGCTTGGACGAGCCAGAGCCCTGGCAGACTTGATGTCCTCACAGTACTCAGTCCAAAAACAAATTTCAGACAATCCAGAGACTTGGGTGGGCATTGGTGCCATCATGAAGAATGAAAGAAATTGCACCTGTCTATACATTTCCTATTTTAAGAATGAAATCCATTTTTGGATCCTCAAAGCTGACACACCCACACACTTCCAATACGTAGATGTAAATGATTTCTTCATGGGAGAAGCAAAAAGAGAGGTGGATGAAGTTCTGGGAAGCAAAATCTTCCGGCGGGTGCATACATTACCTCCAGATCAGTGCGAAGATCGATGCTGGGTTCCTTCAAAAGATAACCGTACAAAAGGTACTAAACCAACCCAAGAAAAAGGCTGTGGTAGTTGGCGCCTTATAGAGGAGGATGAAGACGTAAGCCAAGTACTTGAACTTACTCTTGCCGATTGTTACAAAATAATCGTAGCTCCTGTGGCAGAGTTGCTTAAAGAGTCTGAAATCATCATTGTTCCTGATCGCTTATTGTTCAAAGTTCCATTTGCAGCATTAGAGGACGAAAGGGGAAAGTTTTTATCGGAGTCTTGCAGAATCCGCATTGTTCCGTCTTTGACGACTCTCAAGCTGATTCATGACAGCCCATCACACTATCACAGTCAGACTGGTGCACTCATAGTGGGGGACCCTCAAGTTGGTGAGGTGCTTTACAACGGGTGTCTTACACTCAAACCACCCTTGCATTTTGCAAGAGAGGAAGCAGAGATGATAGGCCAACTGATCGGCGTTTATCCTTTGCTAGGAAAGCAAGCGACCAAGCAGGCTGTTCTTGAAAGCATTAACTCCGTCAGCCTCATACATTTTGCTGCTCATGGAAATGCTGAAAGAGGAGAAATTGTTCTTGCCCCTGCACGTACCACTAAAACGACGCCAGAAGAAAAAGACTATTTATTGACAATGGCTGACATCTCACAAGTTCGATTAAGAGCCAAACTGGTGGTGCTTAGCTGCTGTCACAGTGCAAATGGGGAAATTCGAGCGGAGGGAGTGGTTGGAATTGCACGAGCCTTTTTAGGATCCGGTGCACGCTCAGTGTTGGTGGCATTGTGGGCCATAGAGGACGAAGCAACGAAGCAGTTTATGAGTCGTTTTTACGAGCACCTTGTTCGTGGTGAAAGTGCCAGTGAATCTCTTCACCAGGCCATGAAGTGGATGAGAGAAAACGGCTTCTCTGAGGTGGAGCAGTGGGCGCCATTTATGTTGATTGGAGATAACGTCTCGTTTGAATTTGGAAATAAAAGGCAAAAAATTGCTTGTGCAGGGGAAAAGTCGTAAGAGAAATCAATCTATTTCTACCAGTTAAAAGTAGTAATTGCAATTTTGTTCATAGCCTGTAGTGTAAGGAATTTTTTTTATGGAGAGTGAGAGCTTCGTATCATTGTCAGAGACACCATCTTGGATTTTAAAAGCACGAGAAAGAGTAGGGTGTGTAATCAGTAGACTAGGCATCTCCTTCGCCACCCATTTAGTGGACTGTAGTCTGATATACTCTCTAAGAAGGCTCTCGGCTTCGGTGAGGTGTCTGTTACTGGGGGTTCGACTGTCGTTCGCAAAATCCATACACTAAAAACATAGACGTAATTTTAAAATAAGTGAAAATGTGTTTACCACACAAGTGCAAATTGAGGACACTATTTTTTAAGTTTCCAACAGGGAACGGGACTGATCCTCGAAGTCTAGCCGTGTTTTAAGACCTTGAATCAATATGCAACCTCCCACTCTGCAGGCCAGCGCTCTACCGAATGAGTTAATACTGCCGCGGTCAAGAGTGACATAACAATGAGAGGCCCTTTATTTGCAGCTGGAGTCACGGTGCTTTAAAGGGGCTGTGTCACAGCAGTCCAGTTCACTTTGTTTAATTTTGCCAATTACTCGCCCTCAATCGCTATGGAACTTAAAGTAAGCAAAGAATAACATGTAAATGGCAAAATTAGAGATCCGAGACAAACAAATATGTCTCCTGAGTATTCTTTTTGAAGTTGCAAGCAGCAGGGGCAAACTTTGAAAAACTGTTAGGCTGAACAGTTTTCAAAAACCCTAATTTCAATCCGTTTCAATCTTCTTCAGTTTTGCCCATCCGTGGCATCTGTTGTTTGTGTTATGTTATTTTAACCTTCCTTTAAAGTTTTAAGCGGTTATTTTTATGTTTCTGTTAATTTAAACGGCATTTTTTAATTTCCTAATCTGGCTGAATTTCGTGACACAGCTCCTTTAAGTGAAAGAAAGTTGGGAATTTATGGTTATGGTGTAACGTGGCACGAAAGCCTAAAATGATTAGAAAAACTAGCATTTCCCCCTTTTTCGTGAAAAAATGATGTAAGAGGTTGATAAGTAATTTTTTTCTGTACATTCGAAATATGAGATCATAATTTGCAACTTGCTTCCGGAAGTGTCTTAATTTGATACTTTTTAATGGAGCCCTAAATCAGTTTTTTCTATTTTTTTTTCATCAAATTTTTAGCGCGGCGTTAGGTTTAATCCTCTCATATGTTAGGAATAGGAACATTATATATTTGTGATTTGCCCCAATAAACAAGGTGTTTCAACAGCAACCCCGCAATGTACCGACATTCTCTTCAAAAACAGTGGCTAGGTGGGGCTAAATCAGATTTGTGTACATGCCACATAAACCGTTCCAAGTTTGTTCAGCTTGTAATGACAATGGTCTTAAGCAACTTTCCCATAACAAATTTTAAAATGTCTTCCAATATTCAAATCATACTATGCCTGTAGCTTTTGACTCGAGGTAACATGTCCGCCCCTAAAACCGCTTGCCTTATGTATTGCTGATTTTCACTGTCACGCCATCGAGAAGAAAAATCAAAAGCGTTCAACAGATAATGTCCAGGATGAAGGGAATTAAAGGCTAGTTAAATATGTATTCTCTCCAAGATTAAGTTCAGTTCTTTTTTCTATATGCCAAATCTTCGGAGAAATGGTTCACCCAACTTTAAAGAGCTTTGTATGAAGACGCCATGGTGGTGTCCATCCGGATGGGCACCATCATAGCGGCCGGAAACTGGCAAGAACATCTAAGGTTTCTGAGTTTTGTCACGAAAGCATGAATTCATTTCTCGAAGAACTCATAAACAATATATTATACTTTTTCTAATACAATGACTGTTCAGATAGCAAAATCCGCTCTACATGACAGCTCTTTCGGCCGCCATGTAAACGCCCCCGTTAAGCAAAAGTTTTTCAAGGGCATTGTATCACAAAACTTAAAACCTTTTCGAATTGAAAATTTGTATAAATATTAGGATATTAGTTTTTACCTGCTCTAATCCTTCATGAAAGTAAACTGACTCAGGAAGATCGTTAATTCTTTAGTTCTATGTAAGCATGAAAGTTAACACTTATCATGCAAATTAAATATTTTTCATTATTTTGAAGTATATGTAGTTCTGTAGTTTTATTTCCACTAAGTGACTTTTTCAGGACCTCCCTTAGTTGTCGGTTTATTGAGGAGAGGCAATAAACAGTGAATAAAGAGAAGCGCGAACGAGCGGCGAAAGCGCGAGGCGGAATCACTCGTTCTTTCGAAGCCGATAGTAGTCCAGCTACTTAGCAAAATCTGGTCGGTCCTAACAAAATGTAAGATCATTAATTTAAAAATCATAGATCAGTGCCAGTATATAGGAAAGTTTCCCCAATTAGCTAACTGTTAAGCTAAATACATTGACACTAAAATAAACTTATTACTAGTAATAGTTGATACTACAGCTGCCCCCGTTCTGTATATTGTCGGTCAATAGTGTTCTTGCTCGTTGTGTAGCCAGTGTGTAGCTCTTTGAAATATGCCGATTCACAATGAAGATTTTCACACATATTCCATACAATAGGTGAGATAAATACAGGAAACGCAAGGTTCCATGCACAGTTTCAGCTCGATTTACACAGCTTTGATCAAACATTCTCAGTTTCGAGAATAGGTTATTCTAAACCATAAGAAAAGATTTAATTAGAAGTTGAATTTTTCGCTATTTCTCTCTCACGTTTTGCATTCAGTTCATTTTATTTGCCGGAAAGTAAGCCTTAGAAATTAAAAGGACGTTTGATCGACTCACGCTCGCGCATTCAGGTTTTTATAACGGAAGGACGTCTGTGAGCAGGGAATAAGTCAGCACAGAATTTGATTGTCGGCGAATTTCTGTAATTGTCCATCGTTCTGCTAGTGAGAAGCTAGCCGTTCTTCACTCGTCTTCCTTGCTTGGGGCTGAGTCTTATTCCGGTCGAAGAGAGAGAAAGAGTGGCAAGGTTTCCAATATAAATCAAAGATTTGTGAACTCGTGTCTGGCAAACTCTCCAAGTGTTTATATATACACAGTTAAACGCACCTTATAACCTCATCTGCGCTTAACGACGATCTTTTGGTCCATAACTCTCAAAACAACTGCTCCACAGGATGTCACTGCGTAACGCAAAAGAGTATCGAAGAATGACTGTACAATACACAAATGTCACAAAATCTACCTAAGCGTTCCCTTCGGGATTTTCTATGTTAACGTCATCCTAACCATT